ATGAAAAGAGAAAGGCAAAGACAAAGGGAAAGGAAAAGGGAGGAAATTTTACTGATGGAGTGTAGAGCTCAACCTACCTGAGATCAGAGAAGCAGTCTAAAACCCGCTAGTGCTAGTCCAAATGCAGTACAGGGCGTGGAGGTTTCAAGAGGTCCCCCCTAAAGATTCTCACCCCGTGTATTCCTCTTTTCCTGAGTGGCTGGGCCTGACCTAAGCTGATGAGCCATTTAAAAAGGTTTGGCAGTCAGAACCAGAAGGCATCAGAGAAATCTGAAGGTTTAGCATTCATATTCAGTATTAAGTGCGTGTATACACATATATACATATACACTTAAAGTCTCGATTTATTTTCAAATGTTACATAAATAGAATCTTCCAGTATGAGAATTTCTAAGATGTTTTTTTCTTCAGACAGCAAAATATCCTCAGGATTTATATCCTCAGTTGTGTATAATAGTTCATTTATTTTCACTACTGCGTATTATCGCACTGTGTGTATTATTATTCCAGTGTATATGCAGCCTAACTTATTGAGCCAATCACCTGTTGAAGCATAATTGGGTTGTTTCCAATTCTTGTCTATTATGAATAAATCCATAAAATATTGCTGTACTGGTGCTATAAACACTAATGACCAGGTATTTGTGTGACCACTGCTTTTCACATCTCTATCATAAATGCCCAGGAACACAACTAGTGGGTTGTCTAGTAAGTATGGATTTAGTTTTAGAAGAAAATGCCCAAGTATTCTCCAGACTGGTTGGACCATTAATAGATTCCTGCCAACAAAACATGAGTAATCCTTGTTCTCTCCAGGACTGGCTTTTCACTTTTTAATTTTAGCCATTTCAGTAGATATGTAGTGATTCTTCACTGTGGTTTTAAAGTGCATGTCTCTAATGGTTATCAGTGCTAAACATCTTTACATGTGATTCCTTTTTAAAAAATATTTTTAGAGTAGATGAACACAATACCTTTATTTTATTTTTATGTGGTTCTGAGGATTGAACCCAGTGCCTCACATGTGTTAGGCAAGTACTCTACCAACTGAGCTATAACCCCAGCCCTACATGTGATTCTTTGCCATACAAATATATACTCTTGGGTAAAATATCTCATGGAGTTGGTTTGCCTATTTGCTTCTTCCTGTCCTTTCCATCTCACCTTCCTTGCTTCCTTCCTTCCTCCCTTTCCTTTTCTTTCTTCTCTCCTCTTTCTCTGGTTTTTTTTTTTGGTGCTGTAGTTCAAATCCAAGACCTGGCACATGCTAAGTAAATGCTCTACACCGAGCCATGCCCCAACCCCTGGTTTCTCCATTTTCTAATTGAACTATTTCTTTGCTGGTTTTTATATTTTCAGATTCTTGGGATTAGGTACAGGGTGCTCTATCACTGAGCTATGTCCCCAAACCTTTTTATTTATGCACTAAGTTACCAAGGTTAGCCTTGAACTTGTGATCCTCATATTTGAATCTCCCAAGTACCTGGGATTACAAATGTGCATTACTGCACTTGGCTTACTTTTTCAGATACATGATTTGCAAATATTTTCTCCCAGTATATAGCTTTTTTTTTCCCTCCCATTTTCCTAACAAGATTTTTGACAAAACCAAAAAATTTGGCTTTTATATCCAATATATTCATTTTTCATGTTATGGATCATATTTGGGGGATCAAATCTAAAAACTTTTTGCCAAGCTCTAGAAGGAAAAGACTGTCTTGTACATTTTTTTCTAACTATTTTATGGTTTTATGTTTTACCTTTAAATCTTTGATCTACATTGAGCTAACTTTTGTATAAAATGTGGGGTTTATGTTGAAGTTTGTTTCTTTGCCTATGGTTGTCCAAATGCACCAGCCCTATCTGTTGAAAGGCTTTCCTTCCTCCATGCATTTGCCTTCGCATCCTTACTAAAAATCAGATAAACAGGTTTATATGCTTCTATATCTGGGTTCTATAGATCAGCCTGTGCCACTGATTGGACTGACTGTCTAAAAGCAGCCACAATATCTTGGTTACTATACCCAAACAGTAAGCCTTAACATGAAGTACAATGATCCTCACATTTTATTCCTCCTTTTCAAAACTGTTAGAGCCATTCTAGAACTTTTGTCTTTTCACATACTTTTATGATATGGAGGTTCAGATCTCCAAAACATTTTGTGGTTTAAAAAAATTTTCTTTTTTTTAAAGAGAAGGTCTCACTCTTTCCCAGGCAGACTCTCCTTCCTCAGCCTCTAGAATGGCTGGAACTACATGAGGCATTTTTAGACATTTTTAAGTGCACGATTCAGTAGCAATAATTACATTAATAATTTTGCTTAAAAAAAAAACTATAACAAATCTTTCATCACCCCAAAAAGAAATTTTAATTATCTTGAAAAGGTAACTTACAATTGCCCTTTTCCACCAGCCAATGATAACTTCTTATCTACTGCATGTCTGTACTGATTTTTGTACTCCAGGTACCTCATGAGAGTGGAGTCACACAACATTTGTCCTTTGTGACTGTCTTATTACACTTGCCATAATGTTTTTGTGGTTCACCCAGGTTATAGTATGTATCGGAATTTCATTACCTTTTCTTTTTTCTTAGGGACGCTGAGGATTGAACCCATAGCCTGTGTAAGGCTAAGCACTTGTTCTACTACTGAGCTACACTCCTAGCCCCTTCCCCTTCTCAAGTCTAAATAATAATTAATTGTACATATATACACATACCACACTTTGTGAATCAATTTATTTGTTGATGGACATTTAGATAGTTTCATCTTTTGGCTATTGGGAATAATGCTATTATAAACACTGGTATACAAAAAGGGTTATGTAAGCATAGATGTTGCAAAGATTACATAAGAGGACAGTGTTAATAGGTTTATTTCAATGCATTTGAAAACACATGAAATAAATTAATTTCTACAGAAAAATACCAAATGTAATTCAAGTAGAAAGAGGACATCCAGAACATCCTACAGAAGTTGATTTACTTGAAAATTCGAGGTAAGCTTTGGCAATTTACTGACATATCTCAAAATAAAAAGTAAAAAGGGCTGGAAGTATAACTCATGGGTTAAGTACCCTTTGGTTCAACTGGAGTATCAAAAAGTAAAGGAAGTGATTCAATACCAAAAAGAAAAAAAAAAAAAAAACCTCCTCAAATAAAATGCTAGAATCAAATGATCTCAAGAAGTGAATATTCAGGTAATCCTAATCTGGCTTCTCTTCCAGAGCTGAGGAAAAAAGAAAACTCCTCAGGTTATAATTATTAAACATTAATTTAACCTTGACATCAAAACTGTAACAAGGACATTCTTACTCATGAAATTGATGCAAAATTCTAACCAAGATATTAGCAAACTGAACCCAGTGATGTGTAAAATAAGGAAACTATATTTCATGCCCAATTGGGCTTATGTCAGGAATGTAAATGATTTCCAGGCCCTAACTCCTGCAACAGGGTGACTGGCAGTTTTGTTCACTTAGAAAGAAAGAGCGACAAGTTGCAGCTAAGAGCATGAGAGCAATTAAGTGTCCAGTGCAGGGAACTTGTAAATATCCCAGTTGAGATGTCTAGCAGCACCCAAGGATCCAGCTGTGCAGTCCACCTATAGCTGGGCTGCAGATGGCACTGAGAATCCCCAGCAGAGACATGGCACAAGTCTTAAAGTGGGATAGAATTACCCAGGGAAGCTGGGTGAAGCAAAGAAAGAAGAGGATCAGTGTTTAAAGAAGAGGACTCCCTAAAGAGGCTGGCCCAAGAAAAAGGGAAAGAAAGGAACAGGGAGGCAAGAAGGAAAGTGACTCAAGTCAGACAATGAGAAAGAAAAGGAGCCTAAAGAATTCAGTCACTGGGATGCCGTGTGACAGGGAAGAAGCCAGACTGCTGGGGGATGACAAATGAATAGAGATGAGAAACAGAAATAGGGATTGTGGCCCTTGCTTACAAAAAGACTGGCTGAGGAGAGAAGCAGAGAGTGTGCAGGAGCCAAGGGAGAAGCAGATCAGAGATGGGTACATGTGCAGACCACCGGACAGGAGGGTGGTAAGCAACAGAGAGGGTGGTGAGCAAAAACACAACAGCGTTCCCATCCTCCACATGCCAGAAAGGAAAAGATGAACTCTCCTTCAGTCACAGCCCTAAGGCATGAAGATACAACCACCACAAGTAGCTCCAAACCCATCCTAGGCAACTGCACCACCTGCTTCCAACACTGATAAAGCCCCAGCCCCTGTCCAGCAACCATGCTTCCAGGGCTAAAGGCAAACTGTTCCTTCCAAGTCAACCCATCCCTGACCTCCACATTGACCCCAAAATGAAGGAGGCAAGAGCAGGGAGTACTGAGGCCAGGACTTGGGGAACATGATCATGGAAAGTTCAAATGGGGCCATGAGTGTTGGACAGGAGGAAGGGCCCTGTGGATGAGGCCACGGACAGCAACACAGACACTTAGCACTACACTTTTGGTCATATCCACAAAAAACTCGAGACTTGGGGAGGCCCTATAATCTGCACAGGAGCCACAAGTCAAATCCACATCTGTCCCACTGCAAGGCCTGTGCTCTCACACCCCACTACCCCCTGCCTTCTACAACCACCCCTCCTGCTTTAAACCCTAATTACAGTTTGGGAAACTTTTCCAACATCACTTCCCCCACTCTGGCTCTTATTGGTTAGAGATGTGTCTGCTTCCTTTACATTCACATCGTTCATTCCAGAACTGAAGCTCTTTGGCCCCAGGCTCTTTCATGGAAGTGATTAATGAAAAAATGAATACATGTGTAATCACCAAATGTGCTATGTGCCAACTTGCTTCCAAAGGGCCTTTAAATGTCCCTCACAAGGGATACATGATGTCCAAGGTACTCCTTAGCTATAGTTCTTACAAACGCAAAGCAACACTGTCCATTTTGTTTATCACAAGTTCCACATTACTGAATCTAGTCTCCACTGAAGAGATTTCACCATCATTGCATACCTGAAACCAAAAAGCATATCTTACCTGAATTTTGATGGGCCAGGTGAAATTACTGACATAAACAAAGAAAGTGATATTTGGGTGGTTTCGAAAATCAAACTTTTCATTAGAGAAACTGTCTTTGTACTCCTTAATGTTGGTTTTTGAAACAACAGGCATCTCTTCTCCAGCCTGGGTTCCAGCTATTAAGGAGAAAATAATGAAAATTAGGGACTTTTTTGGCAAGAGGTGGGGGATAGAATTTGCTCTTGATAATAATAATAGTATTTACTGAATAATCATAAAGTCATAGGAATAACTTTTATAGATTCTATCTCCCTTAATCCTGAAAACAATCTCATTATCCGTATTTAAAGATTAAGAAACCAAAGTTCCAAGAAAATAAGTAATTTGCCTCAGGCTGATTGGCCAGCAAGGAGTGTAGGTGGGATTCGAGGCTGGGCAGGCTGATTCATAATCCTGTGCCCCAAATCAGAATGGTTTTGACCAGGAACCCCCTACCACCTACCAACCCTGAAACTGTGAAATTACAGACACTAGCAGAGTCCTATTAACACATGCTATCACTCAATCTGCAACAATGCCTCAATTCCTTTGCATTTCCCTTTAACATCTATGTGGCAACGTTCCAGGCATATGTACCAGGAAGACTGGTTCAATCCTCATTTTCTAACCAGCAGTGGCCTCAAGTCTCCACAAGGAATTAGATGCTCAAGGTGATGCCTTCTGCTACCAGTTACCAGTATAGTTAAGTCCCCCATCCTCCTGTAACTCATTTGTTCCCAGATGGTTTTTCCTCATTCCAGATTCTCCCTCAGCCAGGAACTCGAGTGTGAATAAAGACTCACAAAATGCACTCTTTTCCATGTTGAGTTAAAATGTGGGACTACAGCCCAGCCTGTCATGTTTTCATTGAGATGGTCACTGAAAATCTTTTAAGCCCTAATAAACCCCCAAATGACAGCAAAGATTATATTCCTATATTATATTATACCAGTCTGATTAGTTTTTGTGTGGTCAAAAACAAGAGTATTGTAACAGCAGAGACGTTGACAAAACTGAGCTACCATTCTGTGACAACTGCCCATGTTCAAGCATTACATTGAGTACTTCCTTTATCATCTCATGTAATTCCTGCAATACTCTACATGGCAAGGTGTTTTTACTGTCCCATTTCCTACACAAGGAAAGTGGCTCAGAAAGCTACTTTCAACAGCACAGTGCAAGTAAATAATAGGCAGAATTGAACTCAGCTCTATTTGTCAAGTTATCATGTTATGCAGTGGTAATGTGTCCTAATCACTACATCAGGGTCATCAAATCTTTAGTAAATCATAGTTAAGGCAAACCAGATAGCAACAGCTATGCTTTCAGAGTTTGGTTTAATTCCCAATGTATGGTTCTCTGTACCTATTAAAATCTCATTTTATTTAAACATTTCCATTTCTTGAAACTGAATCACTGATATTTTTCCCCTCTGAGTCATGGATCTGGATGTTGAGGACAGTGGCAGAGCAGTGACCACTGCAAGGGTGTGTGGGGGGGGGGAAGCCACCTACTGAGCCTGAGCCATGGTAGGTGATGGCAGCTCTCACTTCATTTAATCTACATTGTTCTAGGAGGTAAATGTTGCTATGCTCACTTTACTGATGAACAATCCAGAGAGGGATTTGGACACTTGCTCAAGGTCTCATGAATAGTATATGCCAAAACTGGGTTTTAAAAAAAATCCATCTGTCTGTCTCCAGAGCCTCTTTTCCCAACTCCTATGTTACAGTTCTCTACCCACAAACTCCACTCACAGTGTGTTTGCTAGATGTGTCTTTACCTGAGAAGCTGGCAGCCCAGGTGATATTGAGGTTGAAGTTTTTGGAGGCATTGATGAACATGTCCAGATCCCTGTTTTGCTGATGAGAGGTATAAATAAATAGATATATAATTCTACTATTCTTGACTTTCTCAACTACAGAATATTTTACAATGTTTCAAGAGAAATTTGTGCTTATAGAAGAGTTATAAAAATTCCTAAGCAATTTTCCTCAATATAAGCAACATACCCCATATAAAATTTCATTTCCCTCCCAGAAAAGAACACGGCATTCAATGCTTCTTTCAGATGCCTAACTGCATGAAAAAGTTCATTTTTAGAAGGGAGTTTTAAAATATGTTCTCATATGTAGAGAACAATAATTTATACCTTCTGACCTATGTCAGAGGAGCAAGACTCCTCAGGATCCTCTGGACAGCTGTTTCCAAATATCTGGAGCTCCCACTTACTAGGAAATACATGACCCAGTGCCTCAGTTTCAATGTATTTATTTATTTATAACTTAACCCATGTCTAAATTCATAAATTATAATACAGTACAAAATTTCTCCTATATGGAAATGGTCTTAAAAATTAGTATAAAACTGAAGCATACTAAACAATCATTTAATTATATTCATTCATGATATTATAACATTTTTCTTTTACTAAAAATATTATTTCAAGACAAATATGAATGAGTAAGCTTTCTTAACTTTGACAAACATCTTTACCCCTTAACAGATTCAGCATTTCAAGGGGCAGCCTAATTCATTTTGATTCTTAGTTTTAAATACTGAAAAACTTATCTATGAGGAATGTTGATCCAGATGGAAGAAGACAATGCTTGCTGTGCTACATAAATTCTAATACTAATTTTTAATTTTCACTGAAACTTGACTAGTAAACTTCTCAATCAGGGTCAATTCTTTCTGCAACCTCATTAGATGTTATATCTTACATTTTATACATTCTTAATTTTAAAAGATACTAAAACGGGTTGGAAAATTAAGGATGATGTTGTCTTAATATTTATTATAACACAAAACTAGAACAATGGAAATATATGCATATAATAATTTTTAAAATGTGATCTCCAAATAAGAGGTTTCTCTCACAAAGTAGTTACGTTTTCACTTATTGGGAAAACCTCACCTCCTGTTGCTGGCATCAATTGTTTCTTTCCATGATAAGGATCAAAAAAACTCAAAACCCTTGTGTTTTTGTAAAAGAGAGAACATATACATTTGGATATTTCTATTAAATATTCTGATATAACATAAATAGGGAAATGCAAAGAGGTTTGGTTTGACAAACTTTGACTGTCAAGGTCTCTTTCCACTTTATTTATTTAGAAGTATTACGAATATTCTTCCATATTTATTTTTTAAAAATCAAATTTACATCATCAATTGTATCATAAAAGGCTATGAGCATTTCTACCACTTGCTTATAAATATTAGGCAATAATAAATTTCATGTGTACCAGTTTTGCTGTAACTTTGTCCTAAAATGTTTTTTAAAAATTCCAGACAATACAGTTACTTAAATGACACACCTACACAGTTTTTCCAAAATGTCTTCATTTGTAGTCACCTATTACTTTTACTTAAAGGCCATTGACTGTTCTTCTTTTCATATTTTTATAATTTTTTTTAGTTGTCAATGGATCTTTATTTATTTATATATGGTGTGAGACTCGAACCCAAGTGCTCTTCCCCTGAGCTACAACCCCAGACATTGTTTTTATATTTTGAGATGGGGCCTTGCTACATTGCCCAGGATGGCCTGGAACACAATATTCTCCTGCGTCAGCCTCCTGAGTAGCTGGAACAACAGGCATACGCCATCTTGACCAACAGTCATTCACTCATCTTAATTTTATCATTGAAATGGAATATTTAAAACAAATCTTACTTTCACTTAATAGTAAATATACCATACTATGGACTTTGTTCTGCCTTTTTGTTTTTGAAATTAGTTATTAGTGATAACATGTTAAAAAAAAAAAAAGGAATACACATTTGTTTACAGTCACATTGTTTTCCATGTGTTACTTGTCACATTTATTGTGGCAGGATTTGTGATGGCAAATGGCTTTAGGTATGTCAGTGAGAAGAAACTTCCAAGGAATGACCTAAATAACTTAAGATCAAGTTTAATAAAATTTTCCCAAAGTATTAGAATGGGTATGGACTTTAGAGAGTTCATTAACAATACCACAGTTCAGTGGTAAAAGCTCATGCTTAGTAGGAACTGGCCCTGGGTTCAAGCCCTAGCATGAAAAGATGAAGAAAGAAATTGTACAGATGCATCTTCATGTTCTAGAAGGTTTGCTTTTAAATGTCATGCTGTGTTGGCTCCTTTCTATCAATAGGTAATGTCTTTGGGCAGGATAGACTTTATAATTAATGAGAGTAGATATAAATGCACATTTCAAATAGTTGTTTTAAACCATGTGAATTACTTTCTGGCCAACTTCTTATTGGACCAACTAAACTTTTTTCTGTTTTACCTCCCAATGAGGCTTAGAATTCCTTCTAGAAACAGAAGTAACACCTAGCACCCCCTGTGCTGTCTGCTTATTCTTGCACCATGGTGTTAACGGATTTCAATCGGGATTTTATTTTCCTGTTTTGGACCCAGTACTTTTCTACTGCTGAGCTAGAGCCCCAGCCTTTTATTTTATTTTTTATTTTCACACAGGGTATCACCAAGTTTCTGAGGCTGCCCTTGGACTTGTGATCCTCTGGTCTAGCCTCACAAGAATCTTAGATTACAGGTGTGGGCCACCATCCAAGTCAGCAATTTTTTACGACTGATTTTTAAGCCCCAGTCCCTTCTGTGAGTAAGTCTGGGCTCTGCCATCTGCTCCCTAATGATGGCACTCCCTTTGCAGTCTCCTCTGTCTGGGGCTGTGATGAGCAGAAATACTAAGTGTATGTGGTGTGAATGCCAGTCTGTGTATCAGATTCTGGTAAATCTTATAACACTACTGCTCTTACTTTCTGGATGGAAAGGAGATAAAATGTCAACTCGAAATTTTTTTTTCCTGCACTTCTAAACATGCTATATACTGTACTCTACTCTGAAACTACTGTTAAAGCAGTACTTTTAGACAGAATGACCAAGAAAAAAAATCCTAACAAATTCAAAATAAATGAGTCAACTTTTAAAAATCTTACTTCATCAGGAGTAGCTACAAAATTGATGGCTGTGTAATAACGATCATCTTCCTGGGAGAGGCTAAAAGTGAACTGATAGTCAATGAGAAGAGTATCTATGGAGAGAAAGAAATGCACATTTAAAATTAAAATAGAGCAAAAAAGAACAATTTGCTCAAGACACAGATTGCTGTTCTGAAAAACTCAATAGCCAAACTCTGACTTACCCATATCCAGGTTTTTCAAAGAAAACCAAGTCCTTCGGCAGCATCATTTTATTTGAGTTATCCATCAAACCCTCTTTATATAATGACCCTAGATGAGATTTGGCTTCAGCCTAACTCACTCACAAATGTAACTGAACATTTGTATGTGCTAAATTTTGCTTATGGATACAAAGACATAAGTTAATGGTGTGAAAGAAACTAAAACTCCATGGAAAATAGTTGCTTCCAGGTCTGGGCAAGGAATATGTGCCCTGGGTATTTTGTTGCAAAAGAGAAGAAAGCACTCAGAGACTAATGTGATATAGTTCAAAAAGAGTTTAATGCCCCAAACTGGTAATGTAATTTTAAAAATTTTAACAACTGAAACTTTATTTAATAATGGGCAAAGAACTTGAACAGACATTTCTCCAAAGAAGATACACAAATGGCCAATAAGCAGATGAAAAGATACTGAATAACACTGATCATTGGGAAAATGCAAATCAAAACCAAAATGAGATTACATCTCATCCCATTAGGATGGCTGCTATGAAAACAAAACAACAACAACAACAACAACAAAAAAAAAAAAACCCAAAAACAAAGAAAAAACCCCAGAAAATGACAAGTACTGGGGAGTGAAACTGGAATGCTCATGCATTGCTGATGAGAGTAAAAAACAGTGCAGTTTCTGTAGAAAAAAGTGCAGGGATTCCTCAAAAAAAATTAAACACAGTGCCAGCCTTGACTTCTATTTTTAGCTCTATATCCATAGATTTAACCATGTAATTTCTGTGGGATTTCAAGATAACCCAAATCCTAGAATTCTTCCTTCATTCTTCAATCAGTCTCTCTCTATCTCTATCTCTCTGAAAAGCATGATAAGATGTTGAGGGAGGAGGGCTGGGATTGTGGCTTAGCGGTACAGTGCTTACCCAGACGTTCGAGGCCCTGGGTTCGATTCTCAGTACCACATAAAAAATAAATAAATAAAATAAAGGTATTGTGTCCAACTACAACTAAAAAAATAAATATAAAAAAAGAAAAAAGATGTGAAGGGAGGAAAAGAAAACTGAGAGAATGGTTCTAAAGCCCTCAGTTAATAAGTGGTAATGGTCAGGAAGGTGGTATGTAAACAGACTTTAATATGGTGTCACTGGAAGATTACTGGTGATCTGGCCAGGGAAGAAACAAAAATCCAAATGTATTAGGTCATAGAAAGAAAAATGAGAGTCAATGAAATTAAAAACAAACAACAAAGAACACTTCATAACAAAATGGTTTCAATATTGCTAAAAATAAGAAACCCTGCCTTTTCTTTGGGTTTACTGGAATAGACAATAAGATGACACTTTCTAATAAGAATTTTGAATTTCTTATTCATTCTATAGGGCAGGTATTAGCATTACATGAGAAAATTTAATTTCAAAGGAAGATAGAAACTTCCCCAAGTTGGTAATAGATATGAATTCAAGTTTGCTTGAATAAAAGCAAAGTTATACTCTAAAAAAAAAATTAAGCACAGCATTACAGATGATCTAGCAGTTGCATTTCTGGATACACACCCAAAAGGACTGAAAGCAAGATCTCACATGGATATTTGTTTACCATGTTCATAGCAGCATTACTCACTATAGCCAAAAGATGGAAACAAGCCATGCTCACTAAGGAATAGATAAGCAAAATATGGAATGTACAATCAGATATTATTCAGCCATAAAAAGAAAAGGAAGTCTTACATACACTATAACATAGATGAACCATGAAGACCTCATATCAACTATAAGAAGTCAGCCCCAAAAAGAGAAATACTATGTTTCTACTTAGAGAAGATACCCAGAGAGGTCAAATTCATAGGAACAGAAAAGGACAGGTGGTGACTGGTGTCAGGGGGGAGGAGGAAATGGAGAGTTGTTGTTTATTTTTTAACTGTTTCAGAAACTGCCAAATGGCTTTCCAAAATGGCTATACCACTTAACATTCAATAAGCAATACATGAAGGTTCCTATTCTTCAACACCCTTGCTGAAATATGGTGTTAGCTTTTCTTCTCTCCAATGAGAAATAGATTCTAATTGCATGATCACAAAAATTTCAGTGATATGTCTCTGCTTCCAAATTTCAACCTTTAAGAAATGATTATAGGTCTGGGGTTGTTGCTAAGTGGTAGAGCGCTTGCCTAGTACATGTGAGGCACCAGGTTCAATCCTCTCCACCACAGAAAATAAATAAATAAAGATATTGTGTCCATCCACAATTTTAAAAATATTTTTTTAAAAGAAGAAATGAGGGGGCTGGGGTTGTGGCTCAGCGGTAGAGCGCTCGCCTAGCATATGCGAGGTTCTGGGTTCAATCCTCAGCAACACATAAAAATAAATAAATAAAATAAAGATATTGTGTCCAACTAAAAAAAATAAATATTAAAAAAAAAAAGAAATGAGGGCTGGGGTTGTGACTCAGAGGTAGAGTGCTCACCTAGCATGCGTGAGGCACTGGGTTCAATCCTCGGCACCACATACAAATAAAATAAAGATGCATGGTACTATCTCTACTTTTTTGTATTTGCTAAGAGTTGCTTTGTGGCATATTATATGGTCTATTTTAGAGAAGGATCCATGTGCTACTGAGAAGAAAGTGTATCTGGTTGATGCAGGTTGAAATATTCTGTAGGTGTCAGGTAAGTCTAAGTTATTGATTGTATTATTGAGTTCTATAGTTTCTTTTTTGTTTGGAGAGAAGTGTGTTAAAGTCACCCAAGATTATTGTGTTGTGGTCAATTTGACTCTTGAAGTTGAGAAGAATTTGTTTGATGGACATAGCTGCATCATTGTTTGGGGCATATATATTTATGATTATTATGTCTTCTTGGTGTATGGTTCCCTTGAGCAGTATGTAAAACCAAATGCCAAACAGTTTCTCTGATATAAGGAGGCTGATTCATAGTGGGGTAGGGAGGGGGAGCATGGGAGGAATAGATGAATTCTAGATAGGGTAGAGGAATGGGAGGGAAAGGAAGGGGGCAGGGTAGCAAGGATGGTGAAATGCGATAGACATCATTATTCAAAGTACATGTATGAAGACACGAATTGGTGTCAACATACTTTATTACAACCAGAGATATGAAAAATTGTGCTGTATATAATAATTGTGCTGTATAATAAGAATTGTAATGCATTCCACTGTCATTTATTTTTTAAAAATAAAAAAACAAATAAAATAAAGATATTGTATCTACCTATAACTAAAAAATAAATATTAAAAAAAATGAATAGTTCTGCAGTTTCAATGATATCAAAGGATACTATCCACAATGATCTGAAATGATTATTAAAATATTCCAACCCTTTTCCAGTCTGGTGAGGCCAGATTTGCAAATATTTTCTCTAGCCTATTTTGATTTGTTTTGAATGGTGTTTGTTTAAATAGAAGCCTGAAATTTGGATAAAGTCTCATTAATTAACTTTTTCTTTATGAATTATGACATTAGAGCTATTCGATCCAACAGAGCAGATACGTTAACTCCTTTTTCTGGATCCACAATCTGGCATACCAGATTGTATACCAGATATTGTGGATTGCCACAGGGGGAAAAAATCCATCTATCCATAAATGGTCACCTTGCCAGATTCACATTTCACTCTAAGATAATCATGTGATGTTTTATTTTAAAAACTTGTTCCTAAAGAAGTAGTTAACACAAATCAGCTCCAGAAAGAATGATGAAATTTCATCTATATTTTAAGAATTCTGTTTATTATCGATATTCTCAGATATGAAATGTTAGATATCCTCAACCAGGTGGTTGCAAATGAAGTAAGGTTTCGAGAACATAAACAAGGAAATCCAGGGGTGCATGACTCTGTATTGGCCTCTGCTATCTTCTACAAACATCACCATAAACGTGGCCACTTAAAAATAGCTTAAAATAGGCAAACCCACCAAGTCAGGGAACAATTGCATGGTGGTAGGGCTTACCATTCTCAAAACATGTTGTAGAAAATAATGGAGTTTTACAGAACTACTACTCCTTTTAGAAATTAAGAATTACAAAAATACTTACAATAACACGTTCCTTTGAGAGGATTTCCCTGGTATCGATTTTCTACCTCACATCTAGGAGGAAAAAAATGTAATTATTTTTTCTGTTATTTAATATGGAATCTACATTCATTTTAAATCAAGTAGATCCTTTTACATAGACCACAACCAGTTTTGAGTCCTGATAATTACAGTCTTCACCATTATTTATATCAGATGGATTAAGAGGAGTGTGCCTGAATTTTCATACAGATTGCCCATCAGTTCCACCACCACTATATAAAAACAATGAATAAACATTTGCCAACGCACAGGAGATAAATCCAAATGTCATAAACCTAGATCCTATTTATTATAATGAAAAGCACATTTTCACATTCCTGTGAACTTCATGTTCTTCTAAAAATGCAACTAAAACATTTTTCAAATATTCATTTCTTTCCTGTACTCCCTCGGTAAACTGACCCTGTTCTTTATACCCAAATGAGAAAAAACTAAATACCAAGGATCACTTAAAAAGTAACTAACACTCTTAAACAAGTACTGGCTAGCCTGGAGAGAATATAATTTCCTCTTAAAATGAATATTAATTTCTCCTTAGATGTCATTTACAAACTCAGCGAAACCCATCTCCCTCTCCACAAAGCCAACTAGCAAGCAAAGTGGCTATGAAGTTCACAGGAAGGAGGGAGAGCTGCGGGAAACACTTTTCCCAGGTCAAATGAGCCAGGGACGCTGCCCTTTCATCCAGGGAGATGACAGGCATTTGTCTCTATCTACAACTTCTAGAAATCCCTTGAAAGTCCTCCACTGCATGCCACATCATGTCTTTGCTGTTTCCCCCAATAGAGGGCAACAGTGACTAATTTTGCTCTCACATTTTTCTGTGAAAAGGAACCTAGATCTGAAATTTAAATTTAATCTTTGATTAGACTTTTCTTAACATATTGGCTTTGGGGAAGCATGAAATTGACAACCATGTACATTTATATAAACTATAATATAATCTATGAAGTGTTCATAGACCAATTCCTTGCTGAATAATATCCATGTTACTGGTGACATTCTTTAAGGAAAATGAAGTTTGCCAATGATGATGTATCTGCACATATCAGCTCAAGATTTTCACACTAAACACATCTCTCTTAAGTCTCTTCCTGAGAGAGTGGATAAGCCTGGCTACGTGTTTCATGAGGTTTTCTACTATAGCAGATAGGAATATGTTAATTGGGGGCAATCTCTCTTGTTGCAACTCTCCAGGATACTAAAAACAATTACTGCTACTTCCCCTATTGGGAGATGGGGAAACTGAGTCTTGGCATGGTTCTGTGATCTGCCTCAAAAGATCCTGCTCAATGGAAGCACAGCCAGGTCTGAAACCCAATGCTGTTTGACGTTAAGCCGCATCCTTATGGACAGAGACTTGAAGCCTTCCCCTTGAAGATGATAAACACACTTCACCAAAAGAAGGGCAGAACAGGAGGGATGTGTGCAAGGCAAGAGAATCACCCACTATCAGAGAAACAAAATGCCAAAGAAACACAAAGAAGCACTGGTTCAACACCAGTTCTTCCAACTCCATCCCTCAGAAAAAGTGCAAATTTCTAATGGTAGCTGCTAAGTTAAAGGATTAGCAATCCAGGAAATGTCAGTATCAAACACTTTTTTAAAAATGTGAATTAAAGAGTCTTTTAAGAATTGCTACTGAAAATCCCTAAGCTTGGGGGTTGACTTGTCAGAAGCAGAAAGGGCAAAATTTCAAACTAATCTCTGGAGGGATCACTCAGAATCCATGGCAACAAAGCACAGGGAAGGGGCAGCTCCCCAGGCTAGCTTCCTAGCCCCAGTGCCATCTTTGGTGGTAGAACAGATACTCACAGCTGGCATTCATCTCCCTTGACACCCTTGGTGGTACAGAAGCACTTGCCCGTGTTGGTATTGCACAGTGAGGCATGTCCATTGCACTTACATGCTGGAGAAAAGGAAAAAGCACACAGGATACATCTGGCTTACTATCAGAGACTTTTCCCAAAACAAATAATTTTATCTGAATCAGGATTGTAGGAAGTCACACTAAAAAAAGAATATTTAGTAAGTAAGATTCACAATTTTCAAGTAATGATTTAATTCTAATAATGTTCAACATTAAAGGAATTCAAGCAAAAGGACAGTAAGAAAGATAAAGCTGGTTCTGAACCACCACCAGCCGAGGCAATCTCTATTTTGACCTTAAAACTGACACTCTTTCTCAGTATTATGATTCTTTCATTTGTTCAGTGAATATTTATAATGCATTTCCAGCAAGCTGGGTGCTGGGTCCCTTCCCCCATGGAGATGCTCAGGTTGCTGATTGCCTTCTAGGAGGAGGTTGGCCAGACTGTCCTCTGCCTTAGCAGATGAATGTTCTCCAAGTGGGCCACATGTTAAAACCCTCAGGGACTCAGAAGTGAGGGACCCCCGATGGCAAGGGGAGCATTTAAGACCCTTCATCACTCATCAACCTTATCTTGCCTTTTCCTTTGCTTTTACAGAAAACAATCTTCCCATGTCCCTCCTACAGCCATCTCAGCACACCTCTGCCTAACTTTACCCAACAGTTAATTATGAGCTGTGACACATTTTATACTCCACTGAAATAAATGCAAAAGTCTCTGTGCCCAACAACTTTTCCCTTTACACCCTGATTTTCTGTAAATAAAGTAAAGAAATACTTTTTTTTTGGTGGGGGGGTACTGGGGATTAAACCCAGGGGCACTCAACCACTGAGCCATATCCCCAACCCTTTTTTGTATTTTATTTAGAAATAGGGTCTCACTGAGTTGTTTAGGACCTCGTTAAGTTGCTCAGGCTGGCTCTGAACTCACAATCCACCTGCCTCAGCCTCTCAAGCTACTAGAATTATAGGCATGTGCCACCATGCCTGACTAAAGGTGCAGTTTAAAAATAAATACAGCCAAGTTCAAAGCCAGCCTCAGCAACTTAAATGAAACCCTAAGCAACTCAGGGAGACCTTGTCTCTAAATAAAAACATAAAATAGGGCTGGGGATGTGGCTCAGTGGTTGAGTGCCCCCGAGTTCAACCCCATTACCAAATAAATAAATAAATAAATCCCAAGAAGTGGGGGGAAAAGAGAAAATCTGTAAAACAGAACAGTACAGAGTTTACTAGAATACATGGTGGAGCAGAAATTAAGTGTCGACTCTTGCTCTGCTGAGTGTGTAGGGCAGTGTGTTAGTGAAAAGCAGAGGCCTAATGTCTGTTTTCCTGAGTTTGAATCCACTGTCCTCCACCTTAGCCCTTCTGGAATTCTAGGTATGCTACTTAGCCTTTCTGAGTCTTCTTCCTTGTCTATATGATGAGGCTAATAATAGCACCTATCTAAAAGGGTTGCTGTGAGATCTTGGGCAGGCTATGTGACTTCGGGGATGACAAAGGTCCCTTTTTTCTCCAAAAACTGTCAGTACAAAGCTTTGTACACATTTACCTCTCAGAAGTGTTATGTTTTGATTACTATTAAATGGATAAAGTGTATGCCACCTGAAACATGACCTCAATACATCATAGCTGCTATCCTTAGCTAAGGACTACACCATTATAAGAGGAAATACACTGAAGACTTGGTATCATTCAGTATTTTAAAAACTATACTTGTATTGTATCTAGAAAATAAAGCAATCTCTAAGTTCTAGAAAAGTATACTAAAGCCCTATAGATGTCACAGAGGAAAATTTGATTTTTCTAGATAGCAGTTGCAGATATGGGGATGTTTGCTTGGAGATACAACCAAGTCAGTAGTTAAGGTCAGCACTACTGAATGAGGTTCCAGCTTATGCACATCTGTGAGATCTTGGGCAGGCTATGTAACCTTGGAGATGATAAAGATCCTTTTGTCTCCAAAGGCTGTCAGCACAAAGCTTTGTACACATTTACTCCTCAGAAATGTTATGTTTTGATTACTATCAAATAGATTAAGTGTATTCACCTATAAATGTTTTTACTGAACACTTTTAATCTGCACAAGACACTTTATTTAAGAGTAAAAGGGGGGCTGGGGTGTAGCTCAGTGGTACAGCATATGCCTAACATGCTGAGACACTGTGTTTGATCCTCAACACCACATCACAGCCACATCAATGTTTATAGCAGCACAATTCACAATAGCTAAACTGTGGAGCCAACCTAGATGTCCTTTAGCGGATGAATGGATAAAAAAAAAATGTGGCATTTATACATAATGGAATATTACTCAGCACTAAAAAAGAATAAGATCATGGCATTTTCAGGGAAATGGATAGCATTAGAGAAGATTATGCTAAGTGAAGTTAGCCAATCCCAAAAAACTAAATGCCGAATGTTTTCTCTGATATAAGGGGGGTGACTCAAAGTGGGGTAGGGAGGGAGAGCAGGGGAGGAAGATTACCTCTAGATAGGGAATAAGGGTGGGAGGGAAAGGGAGGGAGGGAGAAGGGGAATAGCAAGGATGGTGGAAGGAGACGGCCATCATTATACAAAATACATGTATGAAGATGTGAATTTGGTGTCAACATACCTTAGATACAAATAAATTTATACCAATAAATTGTGGTATAAAGGTGTATTAAGAATTGTAATGCAAAAAAAATCAATAAGAGAGCTCATGTATAATGACATAATTTGGCGTGAACATACTTTATATAACTCTGTATATAAAGCTGTGCTGAAAATGGATAATTATTATTATAATTATTATTGCACTATTGTCATGTACAAAAGAAATAAATAAAAAATAAATAAAGATATTGTGTCCAGGGGCTGGGGATGTGGCTCAAGCGGTAGCGCGCTCGCCTGTCATGCGTGCGGCCCGGGTTCGATCCTCAGCACCACATACAAACAAAGATGTTGTGTCCGCCGAGAACTAAAAAAATAAATAAATATTAAAAAAAAAAAAAAAAAAAAAAAAAAAAAAAAAAAGATATTGTGTCCATCTACAACTAAAAAAATATTTTTAAAAAAAGAGTAAAAGGAAATGACATTAGAATGGATATAGTAATTTCTCACATTACTGAGTATTAACTACGTGCCATGTACTGCTCTGATGGCTTTAATCTCAACACCACACTAAATTGCTGTTTTACAGATGAGAAAACTGGGCTGGGGATGTGGTTCAAGCGGTAGCGCGCCCGCCTGGCATGCGTGAGGCCCGGGTTCGATCCTCAGCACCACATACAAAGATGTTGTGTCTGCCAAAAACTAAAAATAAATATTAAAAATTTTCTCTCTCTCTCTCTTAAAAAAAAAAAAACAGATGAGAAAACTGAACTCCAGGGAGTTGAAGGGACAGACAAAATAGCTAGACTGCCACTCTATCTTGGCTGGCCTGGGATGAGATTCTGAAGTGTCATAAAAAGAAGCCTGGAGGTGGAATATGAGGAGAAAGTAGAGATGTCCTTTCTTATTTATTTTTCCCATTCAGAACTTGAGGATTCTTTCAACTAGAAGACTACTCTAATAGCCCGGTACAATGGTGCACGTCTGTAATTCCATCAACTCAGGAGGCAGAAGCCAAAAAACTGCAGTGTTAAGGCCAGTCTGGGCAATTCAGTGAGACTCTGTGTCAAAAACTAAAAATGGAGTTGTCATTCAAAGATAAGGCACCCCTGGGTTCAACCTCCAAAATCAGATGGCAAGGGGAAGAGGATAGTCTCGTAATAATTTTCAGTTGGAAACTAGAACAAATCCAAAATCAGTTCATTGATTATACATTTCCCTTTAAAAAACAATTTAGATTCTAACAATGAAATGGTTGTAATATTCCAACCATTTAGATTACCACTTGTATGCTTCATCTACCATGAATGAGGAAACATGGGACTACTGAAATCTTTAAAATACACTAGAAGGGCTGAGTGCAGCTCCTGGTTTAAAACCTGTGTGTGGTTTTTCAGGCCTAACCAGAGGCTTGACGTAGTGGCCTCGGGGGACAGCTGCCCTCCTCTCAGCAAACTCAGGGCACAGCCAAGTATTTCAGTCTCTGTAGGAGGTGCAGTCAAGGACTTGGGCCTCCAGCCAGTCACTCCTCACGTGCACCTTCATTCCCACAGGTCTTCCTCCAAAGCCTCCAGCACAGGTTGGCTTCAGGGCCTCTGCTGAGGCTTATTTAAGGGGGCTGGGGTTGGGGGTCTGAAAATACTTTCTTCACTCTGACTCAGAGCCCAGGACTTCCCCACTCCCAGTCCTTACTCCCTCCCTCCCCACAGCCTCAGGGTCTACAATATTGCTGGGAAGGTGCCCTCCATGGGGAGCCACTGACCACCAGCGCTGAGCCTCCGACTCTCCATTGCTGCACTGTTCCAACAGGGAAGATGGAAATGGGGAAGTCAGCATTTTTCTGGTTTGGGCCCCTTGCTTATCCCATGGCTCAGTGTGGTTAAGGGTTTAACTCTTTCACTGTTGAGCTGCTGCTTCACCAGGCTACTCTCACGTCCAACAGTTCACCTTTCTCTTCCAACTCAGCTGAGCTCCTGACAATATGACTTAAAAAGAAATGCAGCATCCAAAGCCAAGTGGCTTTTCTCCTCCTAGGTACTCAAGTCAGAGAAGTCCTGTGTTCCACCTGACTTGCACTCAGCAAGTCTGACCCACACTACTTACGCTGGCATTTGCCTCCATTGGTGGGATCACCATAGAAGCCAGATATGCAGGTCTCGCAGTGCTTGCCCGTGGTCAGGTTCTCACACTTCTCACAGATGCTCTGGTTGATGCACTTGCTGTGGCCATTGCACTGGCAAGCTGAAAGGAAAAGGATTTTAGGAGCCTCTATCATGGCAGAACTGGGTTCAGGGAGTTCCATGAAATTTATCTGCATCTGTAAGTTCCCAATGCCTCTAAAACTCAAATCATCAAACTAGCTGGGCATGGGGGTATTTGCCTATAATACCAGCTATTGGGAAGGCTGAGGCAGAAAGATCTCCTGAGCTCAGGAGCTTGAGGCCAGCCTGCACAACACAGCAAAACTTGTCTCAAAACAAAACAAATAACAAAAACAGAAAAAAATCATCAAAACTTACCCACCAGAAACTAATTTGAGAAATAAGACCAAACTGTCAAAACCAAGTTATTGCAGAAAAATGAGATATTAAGGCCCTCAATCTGTAATTTTCTTATATATTATGTCATTATCTGGTTTTGGTAGCAAGTTACACACTGGCTTTATAGGATGAATTTGGAAGAGTTCTTTCCCTTTTCATTTTATGAATTAGTTTGAGAAGTATTTGTATTAATTCTTCTTTAAAAGTCTGGTAAAATTCAACTGTGAATCATCTTGTCCTTGGCTTTTTTTGTTGTTGTTGTTGGGAGATTATTACTGCTTCAATCTCATTGCTTGTTATGTCTCTATTTATGATATTTACATATTTTGGTGCAATTTTGATAGGTAATACGTATCTACAAATTTGTCCATTTCTTCCAGATTTTTCAGTTTATTGGCGTATAGTTTTTTAAATAGTCCCTAATAATCCTCTGAATTTCAGTGGTATGTGTTATAACATCCCCTTTTTTGTTGCTAACTTTTTTTAGTTTGGGTCTTCTCTTTCTTTTGGTTAGTTTGGCTAAGGGTTTCTGAATTTGTTTATTTTTTTCAAAGAACCAACACTGTTTCACTGATCTTTTGTGTTATTCTTATATAATTTATTTCCATTCTGATCCTTATTATTTCTTTCCTTCCATTGAGTTTATATTGTTTGTTCGAATTTCTAAGTCCTTGAGGCGAATCATTAGGATGTTTATTTGAGATCGCTCTGTTTTTCTAATGTGGGACTTTACAACTATAAACTTCTCTCTTATAACTGCTTTTGCATTGTCCCATAGGTTCCATTTTCATTTTACCCTAGGAATTTAAACATTTCCCTTATGATTAATTCAATGTCCCGGTTTCCATTCAAAAGTATATTGGTTCATATCCATTTATTGTGTAATTTTTGCAGTTTCTCTTGCATTTGAATCATAATTTCATTTCATTATGATCTGATGTCAGCAATTAATTCATTTTTTAAAATTCATTAACATTTGCTTTACAACATAAAATGTGGACTATGTTGGAGAAGTTGTGTGTGCTGATTAAAAACAACATGTATTATGCAACTGTTAAATATTCTCCTTCCAGCATTTTTCTATACAATTTTGTAGTTTTGATATTAATATTCAATTTTGAGTTTTTAAACTTAGATCAAAATTATTTTACATTTAATCTATCATGAACAAAACTTGATGATGATTTTTATGAATTATAGCACTTATTTAACCATCCCCTCAAGTTCTAATATTTTGTTTGCTTTCAAATTAGAAAAATAACCAACTTTACATATAAGCATTTCCAGAGCAGAGATTACTAAGGCTCCTGATTGACATGGCATATAAACCCTGACCTCTCAAAGACTGCTTGAGACAGCTATGCAGGCTGTGTACTGCAGAACATGGGAATGTTCACATAAGGTACAACCTGCACCACTGTAACCACAATCTCTGATTCTTTAGATTTTGGTTCATCAACATGAGGTGGTTTTCTCACATCCTGAAAAATTTCTATATCCTTGCACATGTTCTATTTACTCACCTGTTAGCTACACCATCTATGTAGGTACTTGAGGTGTAAAACTTAAAATATTGTACCACAATTACTTAAGATATGTAGGATATGCATTTTGTTCCCATGAAGATGAGCAAAGGGTAAAGTACAACACATGTATAAAATTACCTAAAAATTATGTATGAAAAAAACCTCTATTCTGGTTCAAGAACAAAAGATACAGAAAATGCTTCCTTCTTCCTTTTCAAAATACCACTGAATTACATGGGGGAAAAAAGTGAAAAAGAGTGCTAAATCAGCGGAAGTGTGAAATAGAAGAGAAAGGTACTATTAGAAGTACTGAGAGACACTGCTGAAGTATTCAGGAATGTCTAGAAATTATAAAGCAGAATGGGCCAATCAGAAAGAAAAGAACTGAGACACCTGTATCTTAAGGTAAGAAAAGGAAGGTACTGCCAATCTGACTAGATGAACTTTACTAGTGGACACCTGAAAAACTCAGTGGAGGCTGGAAGCAAAGGAGGCCTCAGCAGACTGGTAGGCAACAGAAATGGCACATGACCTGCTCTGTATCAGTTCCTCAGCTGGCTGAGGTGTGGGTTCAGGGGCAATAGTGGGAAAGAATAGTTCTGGGTGGAACAGGGGTGAGAAAGAAGGAGAGTGTAGGGTCAGAAAAATATCAGGGCAATATATCAGCTATCTTTAGGTTGCCAGAACACCAAATGGTAGAGGCACGGGCACAACCATGATTGTGCCAAATGTATCCAGGCACCTGGGTCCACTGCTTCTGACCTGGGTCCACTGCTTCTGAGAGAGGAGCACAAACCATTCAACAGCTGTAAGAGCAGACCAGAGCTAAAAAGTCCCGAGGTTGGGCTGGGGTTGTAGCTCAGTGTAGAGCGCTTGCCTCACAAGTATGCACTGGGTTCAATCCTCAGCACCACATAAAGATAAATAAATAAAAATAAATATATTGTATCCATCTACAACTGGAAAAAAAAAAAAAAGTCCTGAGGTTGGGGATAGGGATGTAGCTCAGTGGTAGAGTGCCTGCCTAGCATGCATGAGGCACTGAATCCTCAGCACCACATAAAAACAAATAAATAAAATAAAAGTCCTGTGTCCATCTTAAAAAAAAAAAAAATGTCCTGAGGGTAGCTGGCTGCTCCCTTAGGAACTCATCCCACACCTTCACAACAGTTCAATAAACACCACTGCTAACCAATACTGATAAATTTACATGGTCAATTACAAATGCAAATCAATCTTAAGGATTCAAAATTTTAAGAAAATGCTCTAACCACATGCAACTGCAGGATAAATACTCAAAAAAATAATAATAAAATAACCCTGAAAGAGGGCTTAATGGAAGAAACAAAAGAGAATAAAAAATACTAATTTTAGTATATTTAAAGAGGCTTAAATAATTGAATCCACAAAAGAAATCAAGCTCTAAAAATACCCTCACAAAATTTAGAGCACTTATAAAAAGAAAAAGGATATGTGAAATAAAATTAGACATGTGAAAACAATCCTCAATAGATTATAAGGAGGATACACAAGGCTAACAAGTTGAGTGTAAGAAAATATTATGACCCATATTTCAACAAATTTGAAAACAGATGAAACTAACAAATTCTTTAAAAATCACAGGTATTAAAACTGACTCAAGAAGAAACAGAAATTCTGAATAGACTTATAACAAGTAAAGAGATTAAATAATTTAACATCTTAGCACAAAGAAAGGCCCAAGATTGGATGATTTCACTAGTGAATTCTATCAAAATTTAAAGAATTCTTGGCAATTAATTAACTCTTCCAGTAAAAAGAGTTGTTTTTTTAAAAATGTCCATGATGTGTTTTTATGTAAAAAGAAAATTATAAAGCAGTAAATATAATATCCCTAGTATAGTACATAAAAATATAAAAAGTATATTTTATATTAAAATATATAAATGAATATGTCTGGAAGTATCTATATTAAATTCTGAAAAAGTATTTATAAAGACCTGAGTGGGGGCTGGGGTTGTGGCTCATTCATAGAGTGCTCACCTAGTATGTGTGAGGTACTGGGTTTGATCCTCAGCCACACATAAAAAAATAAATAATACAAATAAAGGTATTGTGACCATCTACAACTAAAAAAAAAAAAAAATTAAAAAAAAACTGAGGAGAGGGGGACTCCAGGTTTTATTTTGTATACAGGTATAATATTTTTATAAAGCACATATTATTTTATAAGAAAAGTTAGTAAGATAACTTACATGAATTTCCTCAATATTTTTGTTAACTGACATTAAAACTATTTTTAAATGAAACTATCTTTTCTCCTAAAATGGTGTGTTAACTTATATTTTTCACTTAAAAGAAATTCATATGAATGGTGTAGCTTTCAAGTTTGTATTCTTTATAAACAGGTAATGAATAACTTGAATTTGGATATGCAGGCATCTTACCTGGACAGTGAATGAAAGACCAGTTGTATCTGCTGTCCTCTAGACACATGCTGGAATTCAGAAGGGGCTGTGGATAGGCAGTTCCAGCAGAGGCCTGTGGAGGCATCTTCACTGGTCCTTTGTAGGATCCCTCCATGCATTTCCCTTTCCCAGTGTTGCTGGGATCAGTACACCAGCCACAGCCTGGCTGCTCCAAGCAATGACTGCAGGTGCAATAGCCTGAACAATTTTCAGCTATTTAAAAACATACACACACACACACACACACAAAAAAAAAAAAAAAAAAAAAAAAAAAAACCTCAATCCACAGATATATCTGAATTCATTACATTTAAATAAACTTTTCTTTAACAGACTAACTTTAGTGAGTCCAAATCATAACTCTATAGTGACCATTTAAAGGAGACAACAAATTTAAAGAGCTCAATAATTTGCCCAACACATAACAGGTATCACTCCTTCCACTCTCAATCCCAAGATGCTGGAGGCAAAGGGAACTTCAGAAGGTCTTTACTGGAGAGCAATTACTTAATGAATTAGGTGAGCAAAAGGTAGAAACATTACATGGATTGAATAATATGACCTTGGAGTTGGAAAGCTAATTTCTGTATTCTGTGTGCCAGCTTAGATTTACTTGACTACATGTATCACTGTGCAATTCTGTATGCAGGTTCTCATCATGCAGGACTAGATGACTTGAGTAGAAGGTCAAATCCAACTAGTCTGAAAAACGTTCCATGCCATGCCAAGTATTGTTACCATGCCAAGAATTGTCACTACATGCCAGGCACTCAAGAGTGCCAGAACTCCCTTTTGCACTCACGGGGACAGCTGCTCATGGTATACCACTCCATACACTGGCCGAAAGGGAAGGAGGCCACGTAGGCGTTGGAGTCCACACACTGCTTCATGTTGCTGCACCACATGCACTCAGAGCTGCTGCTGGTGCACTCCCCACACGCAGTCCGCAAGGCACACGGCGTCCGGCATTGCTTGGCACTGTGGTTTGCTGGGAATTAAACCCAAGAGGGACATTTAAGACCTCCCATTATGTCAGCTAAGGTCAGAGCCATTTCAAATATTGGTTTGTAGCCCAACAGTGTGCCATGAACTCAATTCAGGCACTACATGACACAGTGAAAACAGATCATATTGGAGCCATCATGTACTACTTAGTCAAGGTATTAACACACTCGGGGAGGAAATGGACCTTCTATTCAGAGAGCATTGAGGACAAAGGTGAAAGAACAAGAGAATCTTTCAACAAAAGCAGAGTCTTACATAAGGGGACCCTGAAGGAATTTTACAATCCACCTGAACATGTAAAACCCTATGTTTATGAATTTGAGTGTAAGTAGGATCACAGCAGTCATTAAATTCATCAAAGCATTCTGCATTCAAAAAGGCTGAAAAGCTCACCTACAATTTAGAAACCTTGTTTTAAGATAACTTCTACAATGCTATGGATTATCTTCTATACTTCTGCATTCCTCAAATACAGTACCTTCCAAAAACTGAACAGGATTTTAACTAAATCACCAACAACTCTACCTATTACTGTTAAGCCCCCATCTGTGTGCTACAGAGGCTGCCCCTGTATCTGCCACCATGGAGCCTAAACTTAGCCCCCAGAAACATGCAAACTGAGAAACTGCTCAAAACATTTGATGGTTCAGTACTCAGCCACAGCTCTTACATGGTTCTAACTGGCTTCTGTCTCCTGTCACAGACCTCTCCTCATTTTCCTCCTCACTGACACTAGCTTCCTGAATACTGTCTTATGGTGACTTGCTTGCTTTTCTCATCTTTGGTTTTTATTTTCCTTTTTTTCCTTCCACAGCATTTTTCTGCCACCAAGATATTTGCCCTTCAGAGCAATTCTAAACATTCTTTGTGCTCAACAAACCAATCAATCACAATGCTAGTCAGAATATTAGGTTCTTTGTGTAACATTTTATTTTTGGCTTTGCTTATGGCTCAACGTAGAGCCACAGACTATTTCCTTCTGCTTTTAAAATTCTAGGTATTGCTTGAAATATGCCTGAAATTAGCTCTCCATCTGTTTTCAAGATCATTTTATGCATGTCAATACTTAACCTGCCTCCTTTCTGAAACTTCCTGGAGCCTATCACCAGTGTCCTTACCAGGCCGTTCACAGATGCTGCCATTGAGAGGGTTGATGCAGGTTGCAGCCTTTAATCCCCGAACAGTGGGTTCTGATAAGATTCCGCAGAACCCAGCATCGCTAGGCTCAGATGGCATCCACTGTAGTAAACTATTTGTAAATGGAGACATATCTTCCCAACACCAGTAGGAGACATTGATCTTCCGAAGGCCAACCCATGGGGTTAAGGTGAGCTTGGACTGTGGGCAAAAGAGACATAATTATGAAAACAATCAATGTCTTGACCAAACAAGCTACTTGATAAAACCCACTAAGTTAGGTATATTCACAGGTACAGGAAAGCCTTCCTATACTCTAAAGTAGGCCATTAGGATAGATCACCACTTCAATATGGCCATTTTACAAAGGACAAATTTATAGCTTAGAGAAAAGAAATATCAAAATTTTCACAGAGATCCATAACAAAGTAATAACTGAGTACCAAAATTTTTATACTCTGCATCAAATCCTACGAAGAGATGGTTATCCTAAACTGGCTTAAGTGCCATTCACACATGAAGTCATTTCACCAACATTCATAAAATATTGATAATGTATCCATCCTTAGAAAAGGAGCTAAGCCTGTATGATGCTTTTATTTTATTTTTTAAATTTTGGGGGTCTGGGGTTGTGGGTCAATAACAGAACACTTGCCTAGCATGTGTGAGGCACTGGGTTCAATCCTCAGCACCACATATAAATAAATAAAGAATAAAGGTACATCAACAACTAAAAAATATTTTTAAAAAAATTTTAATTTGTTCTAATTAGTTTACATGACAGCAGAATGCATTTTGACACATTGTACACAAATGGAGCACAACTTCTCATTCCTCTGGGTGTACATGGTGCAGTCACATCAGTAGTATAATTATACACATATGTAATAATGTCTGTCTCATTCTACAGTCCTTCCCATCACCACCACCCCACCCACTCCCACTCCCCTCTGAACAATCCAAAGTTTGTGTGATGCTTTTATAATTGTATACATTGTGAGATGGTTGACACTATCAAGTAATTGACATCCATTACCTCTCATATTTACCTTTGTATGACTGTATGTACATGTATGTGATGAGAACATGTAAAAACTATGTCCTTAAGAAATATTTAGTATACATACACCATTATTAACTACTATCACCATAGCATACATTAGATCTCTAGAACATCTTATTTAACTAAACTTTGAACAATTTGATCAGCATGTTCCCATTTCTCACCGCACCTCCCAAGGCCCTGAAAACCACCAGTGTACTCTCTGCTTCCCTGAGTTAGACATTTATAAATTCTACACATAAGCAAAGTCATGTATTTGTCTTTTTGTGACCAGCTTATTTCATTCAGTATAAGGTCCTCCAGGTCTATCCATGTGGTTGCAAATGACAGTATTTCCTTCTTTTTTAAGGCTGAATCATAATACTCTGTGGAGGAGGGGTGTGGGTGTGGGTATTTACTGTATTTTTTATTCTATTTCTCCACTTAGCAATGGATTTTATAAAGAATAAGAGCAATGAACAACCTTGGATGGTTTTCATCTCCCACTCCCTAAAATTTCCTTGCCATTTCACTTTTAAAAAAAATGTTTTTAATCAATTTATAATGTCTAACCCAGAAATGAAAGGTAGTGTTAATTTTGACAGTTGAAAAAAACATGTACAATGTATTTTCATTTTTGAGAAGGAAAAATATGCATGCCTATTAAAAGACCTGAAATAAATAAATTCTAAGAGTTTTTAGTGGTATTAACAAATGCTATTTGTTTTCTTACATTCTTTCATTAGAATTTTCTAATTTTCCTTTAAAAACAAACAAAATTATAACTAATATATTTTACAAGTCTTTTAATAATGTCTTTTTGCTTTCCTGATAAAATGCAGAGCCATTAGCATTGTAGACAAGGTATCTCTGATTTGGCTGTGGGCCCTTCTTGAAGCCCAGCTATAGCATCTTCCTCCCATCCAACCTGCCCCAGCCAAACAAACTAACCCGCAGCTCGCTCAGTGAGCCATTCCCTCAACCTCTACACCTTGTATGAGAGGGTACCAACATACAGGGAGCCCGTCCTTCTTCCCTTTCCACTTCACTCCTTCCCACCTTCAGGATTATCTCCTCCCAGCTCTACCAGACAGCCTCTACCCTATCTTGCTTTTTCATACATGGGCTCTACAGACTGGGCCACATCTGGAGATAAACCTATGGGGAACACATTACACTTTAGTTGTCTCATCTGTTTGTCTTATCTCAAGAGTGTGGGGTTCTGTTTAATTAAAGCTATCGTAGCAGACTAGACCACCCAGAACCTGGTAGGGCTGTAACACCTGAAGAAGAGAAGAAAGGGAACTGAGGTACATCTGTGCCCAGCTGGGATGATAGGAACTTTCTACACCAATTGTCTCACACAGAGGTGGACTTAATAGTCACCAGTAGAGAACCAGCACTATGGGCAAAGTTGTGAGCCTCCCGTTTCTTGAGGGAGTGAATGACCATAGATAGGTAAGGCTGGCTGACAGCCAAGGACAGAATGCTAGGAGAGGCCAACATCTGGGGAAGAGAAGAACAGAACCAACACAGACAATCTCTGATGGAGATTATAAAAATAGAAAAAGCTATCATAACATACCAATATGTTACAAATATCATAACATACCAAATGTGGTCCCTGAGGTAGGCATATTAAGCATGCGCTGCCAATATCTGAGAGTCCACACCATAACAAAGTTTCACTGGGAAAAAAGTCCTGAGAGAGAGTAAAACACAGGGCACCTCTTCCCTCCCTATCTCAGAATGCCCTTTTATGTGATACACAGAGCCAGGACCCAGGCCACATTCCATACTTTATTCACATTAGATAAAGCCAGTTTCACCCAGTGAAGTGGTACCCTGAGTTCCTCACTGCTTAACAAGAGAATATCACCCCCACACTTCTCCCTACCACAGTCTACCTAGCTGAGAGAGCTTTGTTCTCTGAATATCTGCTTAAGTGAAGGTATAATCACAGAGCCTGCACTTTGGACTAAAAATGGCAAAATGTGATTGTGGAACAACAACTAAAAGTCATCCAATCATCCAATAGCTTGGATGGACAGGAATAGAACGTGAGCCTTGCTGATCTCAGAAACCCTTCAAAAGAAGATGCCCTCTCTTGTTGGGCTGCCAGGTCTAGAGAGACCCAAACAGATGTATATTTCTTGGTGGTAGTGACAACATGTTCTGAATAATACCTTAAATCTAAAGGAAATAATGTCTAAATATGATGCCTAATTAGCTGTGACCCCTCGCTCCCTACCACAGGGATCATCCAGTGATGTCACCAGAGTATGTGCACAAACACACACATTACTATACATCTCATATATTATTTTTCATGTTATAATAAATATGACTAAGAAAATGTATGAAGTATTAAAAAGGTTTCAAAGTTAAAGGCATTTAAGGACAAGACTTCAGTTGGGGTTATAGCTCACTTGGTAGAGCGTTTGCCTAGCATGTGTGAGGCACAGGTTTGATCCTCAGCACCATATAAAAATACATAAATACTGGGGCTGGGGATGTGGCTCAAGTGGTAGCGCGCTCGCCTGGCATGCGTGCGGCCTGGGTTCGATCCTCAGCACCACATACAAACAAAGATGTTGTGTCCACCGAGAACTAAAAATAAATAAATAAATATTAAAAATTTTTTTAAAAAATACATAAATAAATAAAATAAAAGTATTATGTCTGTCTACAACTAAAAAAAATATTAAAAGAAAAAAAAAAGGAAGAGACTGACAGTGAGGCGCCATATCTACTACGCCACGCATCCTGGCATTCCTCCTCTTCCCAGCACATCTGTCACCCACAGCCTTCCATGCACCAGCTGTGGTCATGCCCTCAGCAGAAAGGTGGGTAAGAGACACTTAGGTTCTGAGGATTCACTCACCATGCTTTGTGATGGCTGCATTATTTGCAGCTGCTTAAGGACAAATTCCACTTTCTTCTGGGTTGTAAGGGAAGCCAAGAAGGCATTGTGGTTCCTACAGTACAGTTTAGCATTGTCATAATTCTCCTTGGCAGTAGTAATTTTCAAACACGAGTTTCCAACCAAATGCCAGCCAACGCCACAGATATTTTCTTTAACAAAGGGGGAGAGAAAAAACAGCTTTAGAAATTACACAAAACTACTGTATTCCTAGTTCAAGTTCCTGAACACCTAAATGATCCTTGAGATTGAATTCTAGATGCTTCATTAAGAATATGGCAAGGGCAAGAGACACATTATTCACTTCCAGACACAGAATGCAAGAGATAAGTTTGTCAGTCCTATCTACTGGGTCTCATGAAGTATATTCTGAAGTCAACTCTCCAGTCACTTGGAGGAAAATCCATTTAGTGTAAATGCTAGATTGATGGCAGAGCTTTTAGAAGAATAATTAGAAATAAGACTAACTCCTATGTGGAGAGCAGACAGATGAATATGCACATTAGAAAGGTGGAGTACAGAACTGCAAACATGGAAATGAGTTGGGAATGAATAAATCTAAAGTCTTCAAATGCTGCACTTTTCCTTATTTTCAGGTACAAGTTATACCCAAGCACACAAATTATACCAAAAAATGAGGAGGGTAAGATCTTAGGAAAAGTCCAAAGTCCACACAAGGCAAGTTTTGTAATCAGTTCCTTGTGATCAGGCTGAACCCACATTAAGATTCTGCATGGAAGCTGGGGACACTCCCGGTTCAACAGTGAATGAAACACCAACACCATCAGAACCAAAGTACCCTGGAGACACCATGAACAATATTCATTAGCAGAAACAGCCACTGAGATCATTGGGAGGTACCACAGGAAAGAGATCATTTGAGAGCACACAGACTGGCTCCTTGAAGCATGGAATGGACAAGTTAAAATGAAGACTCTAGGACCCCACCCCAGGCTTGTACAAGAACATGCCTTTTGGCAAGATCCCAGGGATTTTGCTATTCATGAATGTCTGAGACTCAGAACAATGAACAAGAAGCCCATTCTGAAAGATGAACTGCATTACTCCAAAGAACATTCAAAAGGGCCCTGGTTCAGCTCAAGTGGCCTGCTCATGCCTCAGATGTTGCATAGTGCCACAGAACTCCCCCTTCCTGGACATCCGGTTGGAGCAAATATATCAGGGGTTCAGTATGGCTGGCCACCCCAAAGTCATCACCTTAAACCTCAGGATTCCATAAACAGGTACTCAGGACTGGCGGTCACCTCAGAGTTGCTGCTAACACAGAAATCTGCCTCTCCCTCTGCTCAGAGAAGCCCCTCAAGAGGTGCCAACAACCAAATCCCCATGTTCAGTAACACTCTTCCATACAGTGCCCAGAAAATCGGCAGCTGAGACTACAGACTTCTAGTCTCAGTTATCACAGCCAGGTGGGTGTCAAGGGAAGGAGCAGGTCACTGACATGAACCCAGAATCATTTCATTCTCCAGAGGAACAGATAATGTTTGACTTATTTCAAAGAATAGAAGAGTACATACTTACAAATTGGATTTTAGTTAAATAAACAACAAATAAATGTGACAGATACATAGAATAAGGTCCTCCCCCCAATTAAGTTCAACCCAGGTTGCAAAAGATTAAGGGTTCTGGATCCATACTCCAGGTGCCTAGCAAGGCTTACCAGGCAGAGCAATACACTCCTGATTCCGAGGCTCCCACTGGCAGTTCTGGTCCAGGGCACAACTCCTACAGCTGGTCTTCTTGTTACAGTAGTACATGGGGTTATCCTTGGGACAATTCTCATACCTTGAAATGGAGATCTAGAACACAGTGGACAAAAGCTTTTGTTTTATATTCATAGAGATAATTCATGCTGAAGACCAACAGGACACTAAACACAATAATATCTAACCAAGAAAGCAAATAAATAGAGATAAATAAGATGCTAATGAAGTTGCAGTGCATCAGAAACACTGTAGTAAAATGTTCTGTTCATAGACATGCCTTTACCTGGCAAGAAAGCAGTCTACTCTTTTAAACAGCATGCCTCAACCTTCTCAGCAGTAAAATGGAAATATGGAACAGTCTATTTTGTAAACTGACAAAAATAATCTATTTTATAAACTGACAAAAAAAGGTCTTTTACATAAACTTTAAAAGCTTGGTCATCTTAATCTTATTTAATAAGTCTTTATTATAATCCAAATATTCAAAATCATATGTGATTTTGAAGCCCTAGAAAGAGACACTCTGAAGAAATACTTTTTCAGTAAAAAAAAAAAAAAGGGAAATGAAGAACACTGAATTTATGCTGATCCAAGATATAACAAAAGACAAGGAGATTGTGGCAAAGTCTATCATTTGCTCGGTCTACTAGAGAACACTACACACCTGCTTCAAATCCCAACTTTCTCCAACAATCTCACATGGGTGGAGTGAGCTTGCTGTTACAAGCCTCAGACCAAAGATCTAGTACTTAGCCACAACCATGCCCAGGGAAAATTGTCCTCAGGCACTAGTACTACCTCACCACAAACAAGGCCTGTGGCAACTGCTAATGTTGAACCAAATGTATACAGCAACCCTTCCAAAAAGAAAACCTGAACTATAATAAAATCCAAGTCTACATCCCATTTAAAAAAAATTTGGACCACTATTTATGGCCATACACTCAACCTACACCTAAACCCAATTACCATATTTTTATCCCCTGAAATCCTTAACAATTGGACCCTGACCTGGCCTTCTGTGCAGCTGTGGTTCATAGGGACACAATGGTCATTGCACCAGTGGCAGTCATTGGTGTTAGCCGTGCAGCTGTAACAATCCGTGTGCTGGTCACATCTGTCATGGTCAAGGGCTAAGAAGAGAAGAAACACTCGTCAACTGTGACAGCTTCTATTAAGCACAATCTGAGATGGGTTAAAAAAAGAAAATCCTAACAATGGCTGGGAAGTAAATTGAACAGTAAAACTGAAAGTAAAATATATTGGGATGTTCAGGTTAAAAAAGCCCTAGAAAGAGACACTCTGAGAAGAAACAGTATTTTCATTTAAAGAAAAAAAAAAAGGAAATGAAGAGCAAAGATAAGTTAATTTAACAAGTCTAACATATAATAGAACTGAGTCTTTGAATATTTTTTCCCCCAAGAAAAAACCAACTAGCAATAGAATAAACACCAGAAACTGCCCAGGAGCCAAAGAAAGTTACAAAGGAGACCAATCCATCCCTCCCAGTTACAAACACCAAAGCTCATTTTGAGCACAGGCAGCAGGCAGTGCCTGGACTCCAAGGCAAGTGTGAACTGAGTCATGCTGCATTGATTTCCACAATGCAAGCTGCAGAACCCTGGGGTGACTGCAGACCTGGTGCACTTCCTGTTGACCCCAGAAAAGAGAAGCTGCACCACCATGCTGCCTCATCTGCTGAACCACCTATTAGACACCGCACATGGTGAAACCCAGAAAGTGTAAATGGAGGGGCATTGGGGTGGTGGCTCAGTGGTAGAGAACTTGCCTAGCATGTGTGAGGCACTGGGTTTGATCCTCAGCACCACATAAAAATTATAAATAAGTAAATAAATAAAGGTGTTGTGTCCATCTACAACTAAAAAAATACTTAAAAAAAAAAAAGAGTAAATGGGAGGGTCCATGGCCCACCCTCTTAAAGGCCCCAGCAGTATACCCCTTAGGTTGCTCTTCCTTCTCTTGTCATCATCAAAGGATTATGACCACCTCTGCACAGAGTGGAGTGAAACAGGGAGTTGATACTGCACATGAGATGACAGGAAATGGGCTCATACTGAATCATCTAAGATAATTCAACATTATTTTCCATGTACACTTGCACATTTAATTTGAACTTTTAAAAATTTGATTAAAAATAACTGTTTCACTGATTTTTTTTATTAATTCTTTAGACTGTTTTTTTTTTATTGGTTGTTCAAAACATTACAAAGCTCATTTTATCCTTTTCAGGAGTCAATGACTAATCCCACAGTGTTCTGGTAATTCTGTTCTCCATCAATGAACTTGGTTGCCTGGGTGTTCTTACTAAGCAAGATTAATTTGGAGCATCCCAGAGAATAAAAGCTGCCTCTCTCTCCACCATAATGGCCACAGTAACTGCATCCTGCTAGCCATGGAATTCAGTCAACTACTTAACTTATGTGAACAAATACTTTGCAGAGGCATTCTTCTTACTTAGAAAGGACTTTCTCACACATTTCTTCACACCATATTGTTCTGTGCTTTTTTTTTTTTTTTTTTTGGTACTGAGGACTGAACACTCAGGGGAGCTTAACCACTGAACCACATACCCAGCCTTTTTTTAAAATTTATTTTATTTAGAGACAGAGTTACTAAGTGCCTTCTAAGTTGCTGAGGCTGACTTTGAACTCAGGATCCTCTTGCCTCAGCCTCCCAAGCCACTGGGATTACAGGTGCACTCTGCACTCAGCTGTTCTGTGCTATGTCAGAGCAAAAGGACAAGAAGCTAAATAGGAAGGGTAAAGAAAATAGCTTAGAAAATATGAGGGGAACTTCTAGAAGTGGGGATCACTGTTCATCCTCAGCAACTCTCTGTCTTGTTCTCACTGCTGTATCCAACTAGAAGAGCTAGAAGACAGTTGTGAGGATGGCAACTCCTCTATGTACAATAGGCTTTTCTAGGTTGGCCTTCCTAATCTCATCCTTAATGTCAGACCTCTGCAATCCAATATGGTAACCAGGATGTTAAAAATTCAGTTCCTAAAGGCACACGAACTACCTTTCCAGTGTCTGATATTCCCATGTGGCTAAGTAGCTACCAGACTAGAACAGGGCATGTATGCAATATTTCCAGTATCAAAACAAGTTCCATTGGATAGCACTGCCTTGGACCAACTGCAGCCAGGTGGACAAAGCGTATGGCATGCCAAGAAGATTTTGTCCCTATCATTCACAGACAGCTTCAAGGAGCCACACAACCTGTTCTCATCTGTTGTAAAGATATTTACAAACTAATTCTCAAACTCCGAGAAGGGCTTTGCACAAGTTATTACTAAACTAGTATGGATAATAAGGTGATTATAAGAAGTATACATATACTGTTTCTTAATAACTGATCAAATGAGATTTCTAATTAAATTCTAAGAAGAGAATAACATACTTCTTTTGGAAAAACATTCTGATTTTAACTTTTCTGCTTGTTCTTCAGTTGCCAACTCCCAGGAGATGCACTGAGACGACCCTGTGTCCCACACACAGCGGACACCAGGTCCTGCTGCCACACAAGCAGCTTCACTCTGATGTGCTTCACACTGTTCCGAGGTGAATACCAGGATGTCACTGAGGAGGAGACTGTTGAAACCACCAAACACATACATGGTGCTAGAGAAAAAAGGAAGATAATGAATTTGCTGAAAAATTATTTATAAATACATGATATACTTTGTAGACAACATTCAGACAAATCTTATATAACAAAATCCTCTAAGAAATTACTTCAAGGTCTCTAAAATTATAATTCCCTTCCCTCCCAAATTCCACCCTTTAATCCTGACCTTTGATCATCAAGAATAGTTCCAAAAATCACCCATGAAATTTGTACATGCAAAAGTGACATCTTGGGCTGGGGTTGTGGCTCAGTGGTAGAGCACTTGCCTCTCAGGCATGAGGCCCTGGGTTCGATCCTCAGCACCACATAAATAAATAAAAATAAAGATATTGTATCCATCTACAACTAAAAATTTTTTTAAATATTTAAATTAGTATTAAATTAGTGGGTAATTAAATTAATCTTAAATTAGTGGGTCTTTTCAGTAAATGGTATCAAGATAACTAAATATATGAAAAAAAAGGTTAAACTAAATCCCTTTCTCACTCTATGTACTAGAATAAATTCCAAATGGATCAGAGAATCATCCAAAAGAAGAAATCATATAAGTTCTAGAAGAAAGAATAGGCAATCTTTTCCATAACCTAAAAGTAGGAAAAACCTCCATATGACTTAAAAATGCAGAAGGCAGAAAAACAATTTTATATAGAGAGGACTTAAACCATGCATATGTCTTTAAGCATATGAAAAGATGATCAACTTTAGTCAAAAGAGAAAAACAAATTAATGCTCATAAGCTGGGCGTGATGTCACACACCTGTGATCTCAGCAGATCCAGAGGAGGCTGAGGCATAATGGTCATAAGTTCAAGGCCAGCCTGAGTAACTTATCGAGGCCCTAAGAAACTTAGTGAGAGCCTATCTCAAAATCAAAAGAAAAGGGCCGGGGGTGGGGAGGTTAGTGATGTCACTTAGTGGTCAAGCATCTCTTGGTTCAATCCCTGCTACAAAAAAAAATAAAATAAACCCCACACTTACGTAACAAAACTTGAGCAAAACATGGAAAGATGAAGCTATGGGGCAACAGGCACACTCACACACTGCTGGGCTTATAAAATAGCACAAGCCCACAGACAGGTAATTTAGCAATTTCTAATAAAACTACACATCAACCTTCTGAATCTGAAATCACATTCTAGAAGTCTATCACAAAGATTCAATAGCAAAAATACATGTGAGGTAATTAACTACATCATTAAAAAATAGGAAAAATATTCCGACACTCCAAAATCTATTGGGAATGTATTAAACTCTGATGCAACAACATGATGAAATACTACACAGATGTAAAAAGAAATGAGGAAGATTTCTGTATACTGCTACGGCATTATCTCCAACTGTTATGCGGGGAGGAAGCCATGCAGAAAAAAGTATGTACCCCATTTGAATCAAATGTATGATATGTCAAGACCATTGTAATGTTTTGAGCAACTAATAAAAAAGTTTTTTTAAAAAAAGTATGTAAAGTGTGTAGCAGTTTATCTATTGAGAGAAGGAAGAGCTCACACACAGAAACACAGTGTTTCTTTAACTGGTCTTCTTAAATGACCAACACAATAGTAATGATTAGGACTATGACTTAGACTGTGGTAATTAAAAACATTCATTCCCCTGCCGGTCCATATCAGAACTTTTTAGAGAAAAACCCAATGTGTGTCTGGGTCAGTAAATGTTCACAATGAATGTAGACAATATTTTCAGTATGAGAAAGACTATGTAGTGTCAGAAAGATTCAAGAGCTACCATGAAGGGATGCTCCCTGGCTACAGATAGAAAATGTTTGAAATTTAATAAGAATAAGAACTATAAAGGACTTGGTACAACACACCAAATATTTTTAAATCCTTAAATTCAATAACACATGCCCATGAACCCAACTGTCATCTTTGGACAATGCTGAGAAATCAGTCTATTATTTTGAAATTTTCAAATAAAGGAAAATAATCAATCTTATGAAGTAATCTTGTTGTAATCCTAAAGTGAATCTGACTGCATTAATTTGCAGGAAGGTCAGGAGAGATACCAACATGTATTTGAAAGCATGGGGATACAACCATCAAAATCTGGACTATAAGGGGCTGGGGATGTGGCTCAAGCAGTAGCGTGCTTGCCTGGCATGCGTGCGGCCCGGGTTCGATCCTCAGCACCACATACAAAACAAAGATGTTGTATCCGCCGATAACTAAAAAATAAATATTAAAATTCTCTCTCTCTCTCTCCTCTCTCTCTCTTTAAAAAAAAAAAATCTGGACTATAAGAAACTCTACAGGATACACAACACAGTGTCTAGCAAATAAATGGAAACATGACAGGCAAGGAGCCTGTAATTAAGAAAAAGAACATATTTTAATGGTTTTAATTTAGTGATTTAAGTTGGATCCTCATTTCAACAAGCTAAATTTTAAAAGAATTATAAGACAATTCAGAAACTTGAATATGAAATGAACACTGATTATGTTAAAGAACTATTAATTTTTAAGTGTTATAATTTTTAAGTATACTAGTTGTAGGGTTTTTTTGTTTGTTTGTTTTGGGGGGGGTTTATTTGTTTGTTTGTTTTGTTTTGGTTAGGGTTTTTTTCCTTCTTTTTTTCTGGGAAGGCGTACTGGAGAGTAAAACCCAGATGCTTTACCACTGAGCTATAACCCAAGTCTTTTCTATTACTTATTTTGAAACAGGGTCTAAGTTGCTTAGGGCCTTGCTAAAGCCACTGAGGTTAAACACAAACTTGCAATCCTCCTGTCTCAACCTCCACAGACCCTGGGATTACATGCATGCACCTCCAATCTCAGCAGTACTTATATGTTTTAAGAGTCTTTCATGAAAAATAGTCAATTCTCATTATTTGCAGATTCTGTATTTGTGAATTTACCTATGTGCTAAAATTTATTCCTAACTCCAAAATCAATACTTTGCAGCAGTTTATGGTCACTTGCAGGCATGTGCATGCAGAATGGTGAAACATTTGAATGGTGAAACATACATATTCCCAGCTCAGCTCAAACAAAGGAGTGCTCTGACTTCTTGTCTCAGCTCTCATACTGTAACAAGTGTCCCTTTCATGGTTTTAGTGCCCCCTTCTTGAGTTTTTGTGCTTTACTTTATGCTAGTGATTTCATTGTTTACAACCCCTAGTGCAGTGCTCAAGTGCTGTCTCCTGTTTTAAGCCGTGATGTGCCTTTGTGGAGGAAATATGTGTGTTAGATAAATTTTGTTTAGACGTGAGTCGAAGTGCTATTGACCGCAAGCTCAATGGTAAGAAATAGGCAATATATTGTGTTTAAAGAGAAACACACACTGAACAGGGTTAACATATTGACTAGTTTAGGAAAATGTGCTAAGGCGGCTTGCAGAAACCTAATGTCCCGTACGAGCAGAGAGTCAATATTCACTAATTCATTGTGTGCAGAACATAACCACTGTGAATAATGAAAACCAAGTGTAATCTAAAATATTTACTTGTGAAATCCTATTGTGCTAGAAAATTGCTTCCAAGTAAGATGGACAGGTTCAGGATAGCCACAGATTGATGACTGCTAATGTAGAGTAAGGGGCACATGGGGCTTAATTATGCTATTATCTCTACTTCTTTATATCTTTCAAATTTTCACAATAAAAAGTTTTAACATCCTTTTAGGAAAAAAAAATTTTGCTTAAATCTCTTCCATTTCAAGGATAACATTACATTTCTAATACTAATATTACAAATGGGCCCGTTCTTTTCTGCATATGATCTCTTCAGTTTAATTTTGTTTTTAGCCTAAAAACTTAATATGATTATTTATATTATCTGTCTCTAAAAAGAACAAGGCCCAAATCATGCTATCCATTTACTTATTCACTCAGAAATAACCATTTAGCATCTATTACAAACAAAAATACCTCTGGCCCCTGATCCTTCAGTCTGGAAATCAGCCCAAAATTCAGCTCCAGCTCTCTGCTGCCCCAGCTGGATGGGCAAAATCTCAGGCTGAAGCCCTCCTTGAATTTGATTCATCTCTTAGTTTCTGTCCAATGTTTCCTCATTATCTTTCCAGTTCTTGCTTTACACATTTCAGTGGGAGAAGCTCCAGAAGTGAAAGTCCTCCTGAAGTCAAGGGTCAAGGGCTTTTTTATTTTTTCAAGATAGGGTTCTATGTTGCCCGGGTTGGGCTTGATTTTGTAATTCTTCTGCCTAAGCCTCCAGAGCAGCTAGGATTATAGGAGTACACCAGTGCACCTGGCCAGAATCAAGGTTTTAAGAGTTTTAAATCGCTAGGGAAGATGGCGGCGAGGGGAGTGCATTACCCCCGTGTGCTGCTTCACTGTGTGGGAGTATGACAAGTCAGGACGGCTAAAGGATATCTTGTTAGGAATTTCCAGCAATAGTGGGGTGCGCCGGAACCTGGAGGAAGGATTTCCATCGCATGAGGATCGGCTACGGGGACTCAAACGCGAGAGGTTTGTCGCACGGAGGGTAACACTGCTTATTAAGCAAATCGCCCCGCGGCTAGAGTCTGCAAGGCGCGCTGGGATAGAGACGCAGGGTTACAGCGCTGCAGTTTCTGCCAGACGCGCAAGCACCGCACTCAGGGCTGAATTCTGGGTTCGAGACGGGGGAAGGAAGCGGTCCATCTCGGTTCTCCACACCGGTCAGACCACAGAGGAGGCCAGCAGCCACCATGTTGGTAAACTGACGTCACCACACCTGTTTTTGACTGACCGCAGCTCATTCAGCCATAGAACAGGTAATTTCAGGCTGCAATTCACCTGCGGCTTGCAGACAGATTGCTAGGGTTCAGCGCCTGGGGGCTTCTTAAAATCTGATCTTATCGGAGTGAACACGGAGCGCGGGGCGGCCGAGTTCCGGCTCCGGAACCGTCCCGGAACCGCCCTGGCTCAGGGCTGCGGAGCCTGCGGAGGCTGCTTCTTGGACCCTGCTCCTATCAGAGCAAACACGAAGCACCAAGAAGCCGAATTCCAGCTCCCGGAACTGAGCCCGCGGGGACTGCTTC